TTCTTAAAAGATTTGGGGATTGAAAAGAAAGTCTTTCTCTTACATTAGACAATGCAAGTAACAATGATAAAATGGAAGACATTTTAAGGAGTCAACTTGTGCTGCAAAATGTATTATTATGTGATGGTTCTTTTTTTCATGTGCAATGTTGTGCACATATCTTGAATCTGATAGTCCAAGAAGGGTTAAAGGTGAGTAGCGTGGCTTTGCATAAAATTCGTGAAAGTGTAAAATATGTTAAAGGAAGTGAGGCTAAAAGAATGATGTTTGGAGAACTTGTTAAACAAATTGGTGTAATAAGCTCAAAAGGATTGCGAATGGATGTTCCCACGAGATGGAATTCCATTTATTTAATGCTTGAAAGTGCGTTAATATACCGTCGTGTGTTTGTTCATTGGCACTGATAGATCCCAATTATAAAAGTTGTCCTTCAAATGAAGAATGGGATAGGGACGAGAGGATTTGCAAGTTCTTGCAACATTTTATGAGATCACTACTCTTTTTTCGGGTTTAGTAACCCACAGCAAACTTGTATCTCAAAAATGTGTGGAGAATTCAAATGCGTTTATAAGAAGAGTGGAAAATGAGGATGAAGTTCTTAGTACCATGGCAAGTCAAATGAAAGGAAAATTGACAAATATTGGGATTCTTAATAGTTGTGTTAGCAATTGCAGCAATTCTGGACCCACATTTCAAGTTTGAGTTTGTTGAGTTTGTTTTAGAAAAAAGTTGATGGCCCAGTAGTTGCAACAGAAAGTTAGAGTTGGTGAACATGAGTGTATAGGCTTTTTGTGCTTATGAGAGTCTAAGTGGCCATGAGGTTCCCACTGGAGATGATTGCGAACAAGTAGTAATCCTCATATCATTGGAGATGATATATGTGTAAGTCAAACTCCCTAATATTTTTATATTCTTGTGATTAAAAGTTTTCTTTATTTTGTAATTTTGCTTTATTAAATTTAACTATTTAATGGTGCAGGAATTTGACTACTACAAGAGTGACTTTAGTGCTACTAAGAAGTCTGAATTGGATACTTATTTGGGAGAGGCAGAAGAGATCGCATCAAATTTTGCAATTTGGATGTCCTGGACCATTGGAAGAAAAATAGTGATCAAACCCGATACTTTCGATGATGGCCCGTGATGTGATGAGTATACCAATAATGACGTTGCTCGGAATCCAGTTTCAATATTGGTAGCAAAGTGTCAGTAAATATCGAAGTTCACTTTTACCGGAGAATGTAGAGTCTTTGATATGCATCAGGACATGGATTTCTGGATATGAAGTTAAAGGTAACATTTAACTTATATTTCACATGTTTTAATATTTTGTTGTTTAATATATTACGATAATTAACTTATATCTTGTTAATTGTAGAAGATGAAATTGATGTGTTCAGCTGGTTGTGCCTAGACCTGGCAAAATGGGTGGGTGGGCCGAGGTATGAGCGGGTCAAACGGGTACGGGCAAACGGGTACGGATTCTTATACGGGTCGAGATATACGGGTCCAAATATTGGACCGTGCCCTACCCTATACGAGTATGGGTGAACCCGCAGGTGGACCCGTTTTTTCTTCTCTCGATTTTCGTTTTTCTTCACCCATAACAGTTTTCAATTATAACAGTTACACCCCCAAAATTCCTGCAGTTTTAATTTTTACATTTACCCCCTAAATCAACTACTCTAAATTTAATTCAATTTAAAATATAAACAATAGGAACCAAAATAAACCAATAACACATAAACAAAAATAACATATATACAAAACTACAAATACCAACCAAAATAAACAAATATAAAATCACTAATCAATTGAATTGAATACAAAATAACAAATAAGGTCTCAAAGCAAGTTGAATTGAATTTGCCACCTTCAGCCAGCCATAATAATAGTAATCTTGTTTCTGCAAAACAGTTTCAAATAAATTAGAAAACGGTAGCCTCGGCCAAATGAGATGGTGGCAAGGAACATGAATCTGATGCAGCCTTACCTCTAAAGTAGCTTACTAGAAGGTACAACTACAACCAAAAGGGTTGCTTGTTTCCTTCTGTATAAAAACCAATGTACTGTACAGAAATATTTACACAAGCTATGAGATGGAGTTGTAATTACATTGTGATCAACTAGGAAATGAGATTAAATGTTTACATTGGAATAGTAAATGTCAAAAGAGAAAACAAGATAAGGAACTTCCTCTTTGGTTTTTTTTCTGCACATGTGCACAAAATTCCATCCCCACCACACCCAGATATGCCAAGCTTTTTCTACTATTTTTCTTGTTCTTGTGGGGAGTGTACCTTATGTCATACACAAATCAAATGAAAACGTTATCTGCCACGGGAGCTAATGACATATGTACACTCAACATAATAACAAAAATTGCCTCTGCAAAATTTTCACTACTTTGCTTCAAAGGAGATTTGTCATTTGTTTTTAAACTCTCGCATACTTCAAATTTTGCCACCAAAAACAGCTGTTGTTACTGCTTGAATCTACAGGAAAAAACAGAAATCCATGTCTATTTGTAGTTGGTCTCTAATTCTCGGCTTTAATTTTTGTCACGAAATCTGAAAAACAGCAATAAATCATCTATCTCAACAAGTTCTTGGGAAATTATTTCATGATTTTACCAAAACAATCAATAAAATTCATGAGCTGAGGAAAAAAATTGCTATCAGATAATTCATTACTGCCTAAAGAAGAAATACACCAAAGAATCATAAATACAACCGCAAACATCACGGTCAGATACAATACAAGTATACTTGCTAAAAAGTAGGCAAAAAAAGGATGTAAAGATGGGACATTGTTATATTTATATTGCAAGCAAACAGTACAAGTATACTTGACAATGATGAGTAAATATGATGTTCCTGATCTAACTTCAAATATATTCAAGAACCAATAAAAATATGGAGGAGTTAACGTCGCTTCAGAGATAACTTGCAGGCATTTATAATGGATAAACATTCAGTAAGTCAATCAATAATGCAATTTAAAAACAAATAATTTACAAATCAAGATTGAGCTTCAGGATAAGCAGAACCTGGAGAAAAACCTGATGAAAGTGTACAACATACCTCATTACAGAATAATTTGCCTATTGCTTTAGGCTCATAGCATTTGCAGGCAATTTACATGCTAATGAAGTGTTTCTGGTCACAGACTAAGCAGGACACAATCTTTAATCTGATCTGCTAAACATGACAGCAAGAAGTCCCGCCAATGCTGGTAGAAAAACAAATCGGATTATTGCACATTAAAAACAACTTAACAGGGAAAACGAACTTGCTAATTTTAAGTAAGAAAGAATTATAATAATAAGATAAGCAAACATGAAACTACCCTCTTGCTCTATACTAGCACATTGTGTTTGAAGAAAGACAAAAATGTAAGCTTTAAGTTCTTAATATAGTATTTCCACTCTAGCCAAGGCTTAAAATAAGCAAACTTATATAATAAAATATCATACTATCTTAGCAAATTCTTTGAGGAAATTATTTCATGATTTTACCAAAAAGGCATAATAAAATATCATGAGCTGAGAAAAAAATTGCTATCAGATAATCATTACATAGATCTACGAGCTGAAACAGATTCAAGAAACTCAACGAATACACACCGGTATTCCACACCTGCAAATGCAACCCAACACAAACACACTCAATGAAAACAACTCTACACAGATCGATGTACAGGGAAAGCTCAACCAAACAACAATATAAGTGTAAACAATTTTAATCTCACAAACAAAAATTAAAATACAAAATCAATAAATAGAATAATTCTTCTCCTAAACTCAGGTTCTTGGTGCTCCTATTACCTTAGTAAGCTCATTTTCTCTTGAATGTGTTTCAGCTCGTAGATCTGTGACGGAGAGAGAGGAGATGACCAGCCGACGAGGATGAGCTAGGGCGACCGGCGACTATGGTACTGGGAATGGGAATGATAGACTGGATGAATGAATCAGGTGACGTACTGATGACTGACGAGTGACGATTAATCGAAGAGGGAGTTAAGGTACGAAGACGATGGCAAAGAGGGAGGTATGAAGAAGATGGCAAAGAGATTGAGATTGAGAGGATGAATTGTTATGTTGAAGATTGTGCGAGATGAGAGGCGGCATAGAGAGTTACTAAGTTAGACTTAGGGGGTTAGGGTTAGGGATTTGAAAAACGGGTACCCGCGAGTGCCCACAGGTTCACCCATATAACCCGTCAGTATACGGGCCGAATACGGGTATGAGTCCAAAAAAATGGGTTTAATATATTAGACCCATACCCTATATTTTTTACTCGGATACGGGCCGACCCGTGGGTCTAAACCCGTTTTGCCAGGTCTAGTTGTGCCATTAAGTCAAGGGCGGGGAAAGGAGATTGCATAATCAAGGGAGGCTTTGTTTGTTTAGTGTGTTTGGTACTTTGGTTAAACAATTATATACGTTTAATTATTTAGTGTTTACTATGTTATGTATGTTGAATGTTAAACAATTTTATATGTTTAGTGTTTACTAATTAATAATTACTATGTATGTTTAGTGTTTATTAATTCTATTATCTATATGGTGGAGTTTGATATAAATATGAAAAATATTAATATTGAATTAATAATATTGGTGAAATCTAATCAAATTTAATTTAATCATCAATTTATTTAATATAATAAGTTAATAACTAATAAGTTTAATATGGAATACAGTAAAAAATATGAAAAATGTAAAAAGCTGCTTCCATTTTCACGGGTGACTCGTGGGTGACCCGTGCCCGCATGGGCAGATACGGATCATGAAAATGTCGACCCGCAAGAATTTTTCACCCGTTAACCTGTGACCCGTTCCACCCGTGACCCGTTGCTACCCGGATCATACCCGCCCAACCCGCCCGTTTGCCAGGTCTACTCCCACCCTCAGAAATGGACAAAACATAGCAAAATAATCCACATGGACAAAACATAATCTCTAACTAGATTGGATATCTTATCCGCCACGAACCCACCCAGATTACTAACAACCCACAAATCTTAACTCACCCCACTCCTCCTCTAACCTCCCATGGACCCTCTCATACTCCACCGCTCTCTCTCCCGCCTCAAACGCCCCCCTAAACTCCCTCTCTCCCCCCCTCCTCCTCCTCCTTTTCAGACTCTCTCCACCAAACCGACCCACCACCACAACAATAACAGGCTCGCCTGCACAATTCGCGCATTTCAAAACCAACAAACACAACCAGCTCTCCAAGATGACGAGGACTCCGCCTACGGTGAAGTCGACAAGATCATCGGTAGCCGAGCCCTCGAAGGCGGCACCGGCATGGAGTATTTAATCCAATGGAAAGACGGCCACGCCCCTTCTTGGGTCCCACAGGATTTCATTGCTAAAGACGTGGTGGCCGAGTACGAAACTCCGTGGTGGACTGCCGCTAAGAAAGCCGACGAAACGGCGTTAAAACAGCTCGTTGAAGCAGATGACGAACGGGACATTGACGCTGTCGATAACGACGGCCGTACTGCTCTTCTTTTCGTCTCCGGGCTCGGCTCCGAAGGGTGTGTTAGGATTCTAGCGGAAGCCGGAGCTAATTTGAATCATCGTGATAACAGCGGCGGCTTCACGGCGCTTCATATGGCGGCTGGATATGTGAAGCCGGGAGTTGTAAAGGTTTTACTGGAGCTTGGAGCTGATGCTGACGTGGAAGATGACAGAGGTTTGACTCCGTTAGATTTGGCCAAGCAGATATTGAGCGTGACACCGAAGGGGAATCCAATGCAATTTGCGAGAAGATTGGGGCTCGAAAGTGTAATAAGGAATTTAGAGGAGGCGGTGTTCGAGTACGCGGAGGTGCAGGAGATAATGGAGAAGAGAGGGAAGGGTGATCAAGTGGAGTATTTGGTGAAATGGAAAGACGGTGGAGATAACGAATGGGTGAAAGCGAGATTGATCGGGGAGGATTTAGTGATGGACTATGAAGCCGGGTTGGAATACGGTGTGGCTGAGGGTGTACTGGGGAAGAGAATGGGTGATGATGGGAAGCAAGAGTATTTGGTTAAATGGACGGATATTGATGAGGCGACGTGGGAGCCTGAGGAGAATGTTGATCCTGATTTGATCAAGGAGTTTGAGGATGGCCTGGTCCCTGGTGAGGTCCAAATAAGTGAAAGTAATGGGCCTGAGCCCAGTAGATGTTAGGGGTTGTAATTTTTATAACCATTTTGAGAGTATTGTTGATTAATTAATTAATGTCATTAAAGAATGGAAAGAAATTTAGGGTGCGTTTGGTTTATTATTTTAGATAGGATTTTAGGGATAGTATTGGGTTGTTGGATAGGGCAGTATTACGAGGTAAATTTTAAAAATTTATGAAAAAGCTCTTAGGTTTACTAATTTAATTAAAGACCCTAATATGTAAAATGACAAAAATATCCCCAAATTTTTTCGTGCCAGTTTTCCGGCCACCACCGCCGAAATCTGGCCGAAAAATTTCGTTACGGCACAGACCGGTCGGATCTGTTCCGTAACACTTCGTTATGGCCTTTTCCGGCCAGATCCACCACGGATCTGGCCGGCAAAGGCCATATCTACGGTTTGTTATGGCCGTCGACGGTCGGAAAAGGTCAAACGATGGCCAAAGATGTGACCGTCGTTTTCGGTCAACGACGACCATTTCTTTGGCCGTCGCTGACGGCCAGATCTGGCCTTTGGAAAATGCCAGATCGGTGAACTTCTGGCCATTTATGGTCGAAAGTTAGGCCGTTGTACAGATTCCGGTTATCACCGACGGTGGTTGTCGGAATCTGACAAGTTGGGTTGATGGGGGTGTTTTTGTTAATTTTTAAACTTTTTTTTCAGAGGGTATTTAGTGAAATTAATAACCTTATGGGGTCTAAAAGTAATTAAAAAAATAGGGTAATATTTCTGGAATAATGTACCAAACATTATTTGGAGAATAAGATCTAGAATATGGATAAAACTACTAAGCCAAACATATTATTCATAATAATTAACTTATTAAACCGCAATTGACCAACGTGAACCAAAACTCTTGAGTAGATTATTCAAGAGTTCTTAAGCTAGATTCATTTTAACCCCTAATGTGGATGGTCATTGAAAGTTCACTCGATCGTTAACTTCAAGCTAACAAAAGTCACCACTAAAGATTTATCCAGTCGTTAACTTCAAGATCCTACTCATACTAATAAAAGTCATCATCAGATACTTATCCAATTGTTAACTTTAAGATCCCAATTTACAGGATTAGTTAAGTTCCAGTTGAGTTGACCCGAGCACTCCTTAAAAAAAAAAAAACTTATTAATTAACAAAAAAATGATAATAATATGAAAAGTTTTCAAGGTAAGAAAAGATTGATTTTTTAGTAGTATTATCTCTTCTCTTCTCGTGTAAGGAAAATAATAAACACAAGACTAGTTCTGAAGTCTGAACTAATTATGGTAAATTTAGGCCTCGTGCGTATTGTTTACGCTGTGGGTAGATTTGTAATGAGAAATAGAGTGTCTGGATTGACCTTTCTAATTTTGGTAATAAATTATTATTTTAATGGATTCTGATTCAGAATAATCTGTTTGTTTTATTATTTTGGATATGATTTTGGAGATAATATTGTATAGTTGAATAGGAAAATACTACGAGGTAAAATTTAAAAATTTATAAAAAAACCCCATAGGTTTGCTAATTTAACTAAACATTCTAATATATAAAAAATTTGTAAAATGAAAAAAACACCCCCACCACCACCAGTGCCAGATTCCAACCACCACCGTCGAAATCTGGTCAGAAAATTACGTTACGACATAGACCAGTAGGATCTGACGGGTAGGGCATTTATATAGCATTTTTCGACCAGATCCACTACGGATAGGGCCGAAAAAAGCCAGATCTATGGCTAGATCTAGCCAACGACAGCCACAAAAGGTCATCTTTGGCCATCGACGACAGCTAGATTTGGCCTTTTCCAGCCAGATCTATTATGGATCTGACCGAAAAAGGCCAGATCGATGAATTACTAGCCAGTTCTAATCATGGTGTAGGCCGTTGTAACAGATTTCAGCTATCACTGATGGTGGTTGTCGAAATCTTGCATGTATGGGTTTAGGAGGTGTTTTTGTTAATTTTTAAACTTTTTTTCTGGGGGTATTTAATGAAATTAATAAACTTAAAAGGTTTAAAAATAATTAAAAATATACTAATATTTCTCAAATAATATATCAAACAATATTTGGGGAATAGAATTGAGAATATGGGTAGAAATAATGTGACAAACACACCCAAAGTTTATCAGTATTTTAAAACAATACAGACATTACCATTTTAAGTATATTAATAAAAAATAATTAAATTTTTTGACTTTTTAAATCTAACACAAGTATAACATTAACAAGGAGATGTGTTGGCATATTTGTCTTGTCTCCTTTAGTCATTGGAAAATAATTCAGTCATCGATAATAGTACATTAAATTTAAACATCAAATGAAGTAATAAAGTATTGATTATTGATTAATTTTAATTTAATATTAATGAACGATTAAGATTTTGTTATGTTGTGTAATTTGTTGTACAAATTCAATGTAATACCGTGGATGACAGCAACATTACTCTTAGTCATTGCGTTACTATTTAATCACAAGCCAAAACCCTCTCACCCCCGACCAACAATGCATGCAAAAACTGACTCAGAGGGGACCAGCATTGACGCCTCATGGCTGCCGAGGTCTCCAAGGAGGCCCATATACTACGTCCAGAGCCCTTCCAACCACGACGTCGAGAAGATGTCATACGGCTCCAGCCCCGCCGGCTCCCCTGCCCATCATTACTACCACTGCTCGCCCATCCACCACTCTCGTGAGTCCTCCACCTCGCGGTTCTCCGCCTCCTTGAAGAACCCCAGAAACCTCTCCCCTTGGAAACACGTGCAGCTTCATCAAGACGACGACGACGACGAAACGGACGGTCGCTATGGAGGGTCTACTGATAAAGTCAGATTGTACTTGTGTATTTGTTTGTTCTTCGTTGTCATGTTCACCGTGTTTTGCTTGATCTTGTGGGGCGCCAGCAAGGCTTACAAGCCTAAAATCATCGTCAAGGTACATGCTTTTTTGCTCTGATATTGTTTCCACTGAGTTGACTCGTTGATGATCAACCGAGTAGAGCACTCAATGACTCTGTTTTCCTTGTCTGGCTCTGGCACACTTTTTTATGCGTTTCAGTCGAATTAACTCCAATAATCTGTATTGGGTAACTCAATAACTGGCTCTTGACTCGATTTTCTACCGAGTGAAGCCAGTGACTCAGTTCGGAGTTTTATCGAGAAACGAAATATTAGGTGATTAGACGCCGTTTTGGAAGTTAAAATCCCGTGTATTTAGCCTTTTCTTGATTAAATTGTTTAAAGATTTTACTATAAACTATAAAGTATAAAAAAATGTGCGCTTATTTGTGGCTTTTAATGTGGCGTGGGAACAGAACATCGTGTTCGAGAATTTTAATGTTCAAGCAGGTAATGATGCGTCAGGGGTGCCAACGGATATGCTGTCTCTAAATTCAACAGTCAAGATCTTATACAGAAACCCAGCTCCATTCTTCGCCGTCCACGTCACTTCTACTCCTCTGGAGCTTCACTATTTCCGTCTCAAACTGGCCGCCGGACAGGTAAATCCATGGCCCCCAACTTAATCTCAAAATCCTTTTTGCCCTTTAAGAGGAAGGTTAGAATGGTCAATATGGAGTTAGAGTCCAAAATCAATTGTTATTTAAGTGTGATAAGAAGAGTAAATCACATTTTCCTACCCAAGGTTTGGCAAACCTTTAATGCCACCTCTGGTTTCATATATTGTAGATTCCCACTCTTTAATTAACATATAACTGTCTAACAGTTAAAAAACTAAAATGGTCATTTCAAATTCTCACTCTTTAATTAACATATAGCTGTTTAACAGTTAAAAAAGTAAAATGGTCATTTCAAATATAAAAATTTTAAAATAGGAAAATGCTAGAGTTACTGAAAATTACACACCGAATCCATACACCGAATGACGTGACAAAATCCTGACCGTTAATTAATAGTAACTTATAATGAATCAACGGTTATGATTGTGTCACGTTATTCGGTGCGTATCATTCGGTAATTGTAGCATTACTCTTTAAAATAACCCTTCACTTTTCAAATTCATCCCATCGATGATTTTCGACACAATCGACCCCTCTTGACACCACTATTACAATCCCCTCAATCCCCACATCAAAATGCCCAACCTCCCTGCTTGATTGAACCCCCCAATCGTCGACCGTCGCTTTTAGTGTCAATTGGCGTTTCATCCAAATTCTGGCAAGGCTTGGTATCGAAAACCACCCCCAAGACCACCAATAACATCGCTGGTTTATCCCCACCAAAACTACCAATATCGTCGACTGCAATTGCCTGTCAATCGCGGCCCTCCTCTCCTTTAGGTTTTTGCAATTTTTTTTTTTTTTTTGCCCCTTTCTAAGCAAATTTTGGCACCTCACTAAGGGCAATCAGGTGGAAAAGTTAGGAGTTTTGGTGAGGAGGATAAGGGGATGCTGATGGTGGTGTAGAGAAGCTCCAATGATGTTGAAATTAGGTTAGATTTTTCGCATGGTGGAGTCTTTTAGAGGTTATTTGAGAGAAATTTGAGATATAAGGGTTATTTTAACAAAATATAACACCTTAATTTAAGGGTGGGAATGGTATTTATGAAAATGGGTGGTAAAATGTTGTTTACTCGTAAAATGAAATATGGGTTGAAAGTATCGAAGACTTTTTGAATGGTATTGGGTGTCTTTATTCGAGTGCCTGAAAAAGACTGGAAAGTTTGCAGAAAAATATAATGCCAGTCTATTTATTGGGAAGCGTAATTGGGTCCACTCTTCCTGTAATTACTCCTTGTTTACTTCTTTGGCTTCAAGCAATCTAATTCTTTACAACATGGCTTCATTGTATTTGCTTTACTTAGTAGAATCAAAATCAATGACGTGATAGAACATTATTTCTCACATGCTCTGTTTCTTGCAATGTTAACAGTTTTGGTTTGTTCTGTGACTTCTAGGTCGGAGAGACAATCTCCTGACATACATATTTGTCTCACAATACTTAAGTTTAGGACTTACACAATGATAGATAATGAAATCCATGTTCCAGTGTGTATGGGTTTATCATTATCACCTTGAGGTCTATTCCTTATTGTGTAAGTTTTGAACTTAAATGGCGCGTGTGTTGTAAGGTTGATATATGTTTTTGAGGTTTGTTTTCTTTGTCTTTAGATAATTGATTACGAAGTCAGGAATGGTAGTTGTTTCGAATTCAATAATTTAATTAATGGTTTTAGAATAGTACTTGTGAAGTGGTGGGCGTTTTTATTAATCTAATTGATTTGTCTATAAATGGATGAAATAGATGAAGAAGTTTACTGAATCAAGGAAGAGTCAGAGGAAGGTGGTGACAGTAGTGAAAGGACATCAGGTGCCGCTCTATGGTGGGGTTTCAGTTCTTGCAAGTGCTAGAGATCAGCAGCACCTTGCGAGAGTCGAGGTTCCCCTGAACTTGACATTTTTGGTGAGGTCAAGGGCTTACATTTTGGGAAGACTGGTGAAATCCAAGTTTTATAGCCACATTCGTTGCTTGGTCACTTTGAAAGGAAACAAACTCGGCAAGCCTCTAAACTTGACTAATTCATGTATTTATGATTGATGATCTTCTTGATCATTTCTCAAAAACTATCCTGATTACTCCTTGCTTCTTGAAATTTCTGTTCACATAAACTGAATCTATCTTTAGATGGTTCAAATTCAAGGTGCCAATAGAAGGATTTGGAGTTCATTGACAATGTAAATCTACTAGGTCTATTCATATCGTTCATCATTGTAAACTAGATTTATTTTCTGTGAAGCTATTCTTGCGAATGCTCATTGTTTTAGTTTTTTCTTTTGAAGTTAATCTGTGCTTGATTAGTTCATCACGAACTTGTAAAAACAGCTTTTATGAGGAAATAGGCATAACATTCAACTGATGCAGAAGTTACGAAGGACTTGAACACTTAACAGAGATAACATACAGAACAGAGACACCAAGACTCATACAAGACCATGAAACAATCAAACAACACACTGATGATAAACTTGAAGGAGTTTATTTTAATATTCCTTGTGCTTCTCTTCATTTGCATGGGAGCCTGGTAGCTTCTCTTTGATCTGCTCGAAGATTCCTTTCTTCTCCTTCTCATTGCCTTCTGCACAATGCTCATGTGCACAACATGCGGGAGCAATGCCCTCTTCGGCTTTCTTGTGCTGACCAGGAAGTTTTTCTTTGATTTTCTCTAGAAAGCCTTTTTTGTCATCTGGATGAGTTGCTTCTGCATTTGCTTTCTCATCATATTTCTCTACTGGAATGGAAGAGTCTTTGTTCTCTATAGTTTCTTCCTTTTCACCAGAGATTTTCTCCTTGATCTTTTCCTTCAATCCCTGCTTCTTCTTCTTCTTTTTCTTCTCCCCATTTTCGTCATCTTCTTCGCTTGACTGCAAGTTTCAGTAACCCTGCTTTGTTAGTAAAAGGTTGATAGCCAAAACACCATTGTTGCTGGAAACAAAATTTTATTTGTTTATTATATGAAGGTTAATGAGAGCTTACGGAGCTTGAGTCGCTGTGAGATTGTTGAAGCGTTTCCGTTGGAGCAGGCTTTTCACCCTTTTCCTTGACTTGATCAGCGTTTGCAATGGTCACATCGTCTTGAGATTTCTCCTCATCTTTCTTCTTAAAAAAATCCAACATTCCACAACCCTTTGCGTCATTTCCTTGAGGGCGATCGTGATCAGCCATAATGCCAAGCAAAATCCAACTAGAACTCAACAGTAAAGCGAACAGAAAACAAAAGCTTTTGAACAATTGCTGGTAATAACTCTGTTGTGAGTTTCACCATGAAAAGAGTTTAGTATTTATAGCAGAAGCCATGGAAACAATTTATTGGGTAGTGGATGGAATAATATCACATGAAAGATTAAAAATGAATTAAGGTGTGTTGGTGGATGTGTTATGCACGAGGGTTGAAAGAAATGTCCAACAGAAACTGTGACAATGCAATGAAAGTGTACGAGAATGCATCTTGAGAGGCTAGCACCGGCTCTCTTGTCGGCCTCGGAGGAAGAAAACTCAGAAGGCCGGTGTGGTCGGTCTGCATTAATTTAGAGATGCCAATTGTCTGCCAACGGGGGAAGTTCAAGTCTCTGAGATGCAGAAAATTTGTACTGAATGCCTAATCAAATTATAATTTTGGTTTAGCAGGGCCAATGATATGCAATTAACCTGAAGAAACTTTGATAACACCTGATTTCTACATTAAATCTATTATCAATTACTGTTTTCCTCCACATATATTTGTCATTTAAGGCCTAAAGAAGTTGGCATTTAAGCCTTTGTCATGCAAATTCCACGCTGCTGCAACAACTAACATAACACTCAAAATCATTCCTAAGCAACCAAGTCCTAAATTAACCCACCAAATAGCACCATTTGGGCGGGGTTTTTTGATGGAAATGTACATGAAACATGGATAAACATAAGTCAAAGGCAATGCAATTCCTCCAATTAGAGCTGCCAAGCTTCCCAGGAATGGAAATGCCACTGCTACCAAGAACACAACACCTCCAAAGAAAACCCTTAAACCTGTCCGAACCCATCCTGGACACTGCTTCTTCTTCTTGATCGTATACTTGAACTCCAAGTTGTCCAAAACTGGCATTGCATAGATTGGAAATGAACTCAGGCTGTTTATCACTACCAGTTGATAGATTGTGCCCACCAAATATTTTGGGGTGTTATGGCCATGAATGTGCAAAAATGCACTCAACATCCCTCCATGTGCAGGTACCTGGAAATTACATTGGGCACATCGTTGTTTTGTTAAAAATGGTAACAATAGCTTATGTCATGTTTTGTAATGCTTCGTTACCTTGTTTCCATAAGCCCAAAATCCAGCTATAGCTAGTGGAAATAAGCACATTGCTGTTATTAGATTTGAAATTATGACCCCTTTCCACATCAGTTTGCAGGATGGCTCTTTTCTGCTAGAAGGCAATGTACCCTGCATGTTCATTACGGGAAAAAATATTATTGGTGTGAAGCCAAAGACATTATGATGTTTAGATCTAAAGTGTGGACCAATAACTAGTTGACAAATATTAGCTAGTTGTTGGTCTAAAATGTTTGTAATAAAGAAATTTTTTAGAATATTATAAAAGCATTACGTCGGTCATATTACAAGTCAATATCTTTATATTATACATTAATACCACTGTAATACTATAACTTTCTTTTAAACAAAGGAATGACAATTTGAATGAATGTTTTTACCTGTATTTCCAGCACAAGATTATGACCTCGAAATGCAAGCACAATTGTACCAATGGCATCAGGATATTCCCAAACTTAGCCATATCTGATTCTCTTACCTCTTCAGATTCTCCATTGGGCCTGGGCCTGGGCCTACCCTCGCTGATGGACAGAACCCAGATCAGTGAACAGTAACCAACAGCTGTGGTTGCCCCAATCATTGAGACCTTGGCCAATGAGTTCAAGTTTGGCAACCGAGCCACAACAATCGCCAAGCAAGTGAACAGCATGAACCATGCAGCACCAGTCCTGTCTTTGCTTCATCACCAGCAGCCCCACAATTAAAGATGGTCCTGAAAAATAACTCAATGTTCCCACCTCCCGTGATAACCAGCATGGTGCAAGACCCTCCTGACAGGTACATCACAGGAAATATTGCGAGCAATTTTCCTAGTTTTGGTCCTAGAATATAACGTGCCCCATTAATACACTGCTTGATTCAGAAGAAACGAAAGCTGAAATAACTTTTCACTTGACTAACCAAAGGCAGATATCGCAAGATAGAGGTATCTGCTGAAGCGAGTTCCAGGAACTGATTCAGCTAGTTGAACAAGAAGCCATATGGTGTAGAGTTGCCATGAAAATGCTAGTGACAAACATATGATTCCCCATGTCCTGCAAAAATTGAAAGATGTTCTCAAAAAACTGAATTAATTAAAACAAAAAACTGAATGTTGTAAAGTTGTTACTTACCATCCAAGTGAGGCCAAATCACCAGGAAGTAAAAGGGCTGGAAATCCGATTCCTGAACACAGGAGATGGAACACTGCAGAATAAATACTTCCATTTCTTGATTCTGTGATGGGAAGCCAAGCGTCTTGTGGGTTATATTCGACCCCGGAACTGCCATCTGAATGATCATTCAAGCCGTCATTGTTTGTGCCCGTACTACTGGGTTCCTGGAGAGACGGCTCTTCAACAGAAATTAGTTCAGGAACTTCTTTCATGGCTGAAGAGCTATGATTCAGAAGCAACTAGTCCCTGCGGAGATGAGATAGATATATGGCTGATTGGTTTGCAAAATTACGTACTTCAACCGCAACTGCAACTGTCAGTGTTGACTCGGGATCATTTTTATGAAATTGGTGGGCACATTTTGTTGATATTTCCATGGTTAATTAATTCAAGTCGTGAATTTGTAAATAATATTTATATCTCTAGTGCTCTCTGATTGTCCTGTCACTCAGCTTTTTCCTTCTGACTTTTCAGTTATTTTTATTTTTCACATATTCCCCTACAATTATTTATGGGTATTAATAAAAGGATGATAACAGGTGCGATTGTTTCTTTGTTTTTAGTTTTTACACTATCCAATTCCTTTTTTTTTTCTAAAATACACATTTATTTTTCTATTTTGAAAATCTTATTTTACTTTATTTAATTATTTTTAAATCCTCTATGTTTGTTAATTTAACTAAATAAAAAAAGAGTTTAGAAATTGATAAAAACACCTTTACCCACCCACATTTGCCAAATTCTGGCCACCGCCATAGGTAGATGGTCCGAATCTGGTATAATGGCGCACTACCGGGCTAGATTTGGCCGATAGTGCACCATTTAGCATTTTTCGGCCAGATCTTTGGTCGTAGTTAATCGTCAACGATGACCATATATTGGCCATCGTTGACGACCAAACGCAACCAGAGTTGGCTGTCAACGGCTAGATTTGGTAGTCAATGACCAGATTTGGTCGTCAATGGCCAGATCTAGCTGTAGATCTGGCATTTTTCAACCAGATCCATTATAGATCTAGTTGGAAAAAGCCATATCGACGCACGACCAGCCATATCCAGGTCGTACACCAATACGACGACTCTGGCCACCCTCTGGCAGTGGTGGCTGGCTGCCAGTATTTAATGGGTGAGTGAAGGTGTTTTTGTTAATTTTTAATATTTTANGAAGAGCTATGATTCAGAAGCAACTAGTCCCTGCGGAGACGAGATAGATATATGGCTGATTGGTTTGCAAAATTACGTACTTCAACCGCAACTGCAACTGTCAGTGTTGACTCGGGATCATTTTTATGAAATTGGTGGGCACATTTTGTTGATATTTCCATGGTTAATTAATTCAAGTCGTGAATTTGTAAATAATATTTATATCTCTAGTGCTCTCTGATTGTCCTGTCACTCAGCTTTTTCCTTCTGACTTTTCAGTTATTTTTATTTTTCACATATTCCCCTACAATTATTTATGGGTATTAATAAAAGGATGATAACAGGTGCGATTGTTTCTTTGTTTTTAGTTTTTACACTATCCAATTCCTTTTTTTTTTCTAAAATACACATTTATTTTTCTATTTTGAAAATCTTATTTTACTTTATTTAATTATTTTTAAATCCTCTATGTTTGTTAATTTAACTAAATAAAAAAAGAGTTTAGAAATTGATAAAAACACCTTTACCCACCCACATTTGCCAAATTCTGGCCACCGCCATAGGTAGATGGTCCGAATCTGGTATAATGGCGCACTACCGGGCTAGATTTGGCCGATAGTGCACCATTTAGCATTTTTCGGCCAGATCTTTGGTCGTAGTTAATCGTCAACGATGACCATATATTGGCCATCGTTGACGACCAAACGCAACCAGAGTTGGCTGTCAACGGCTAGATTTGGTAGTCAATGACCAGATTTGGTCGTCAATGGCCAGATCTAGCTGTAGATCTGGCATTTTTCAACCAGATCCATTATAGATCTAGTTGGAAAAAGCCATATCGACGCACGACCAGCCATATCCAGGTCGTACACCAATACGACGACTCTGGCCACCCTCTGGCAGTGGTGGCTGGCTGCCAGTATTTAATGGGTGAGTGAAGGTGTTTTTGTTAATTTTTAATATTTTATTACAAGAGTGTTTAGTAAATTAACAAACATATGGGGTATTTTTGTTAGTTTTTAAATTTTACCTCGTAATAATCATCAAACTCTTACTTTTTCAAAAATACTATAAATCCCATCCAAAATAATAAAACAAACAGACCAACGCTATCTCTTGGTGGCCGAGTAGTTTAATAGGGATTTTTAGTTATATTATTCAAGAGATCTTAAGTTTGAGTCACTTTTCGGTTGCTAATAGGGGTAACCACTAGAGCTCTTACTCGACTGGTAGTTTCAAGGTTTTAAGAGATTAATTGAGGTGCGCGTAAACTGGGCCAGACAACTTTTATAATAAAAAAAAAAAAAAAAAAAAAAAAAAAGGAAAAAGATACAGGGATGGCAACCCGTTTCTCTTTGGTGATCTATAATTTCAGTAATGTGTATATAAAATAATAATATGTAGATTTTTTTTATTGGTGTATATATATTATCTGTACCTCATTTAAATAATTGAAGTTGTACTTAAAAAAGGATTGCATGCTATTTGGATACGATATTATAATCATGATATTTATAATTTAAACATACAAGTCTAATACAAATATTATGTGATAATCTATGAACATATGAGTCAAGCCAATTTACTTCCTCAATTTCGAAAACCCAATAATTGAAAATAGCCAACAAACGGTGTCGTATTACAACTTTAAATCATGGGAGTTGGTTGAGCGTTGAAGGCCGACGATCCCTTCAAAATTAGATTTTCCCAATTAAGAAGAAGTAGGTGGTGAAGGTGAGATGCAGATGACAATGGTGACATAAAGATTGTGACGTGGTTCAAAGATACTTGTTCCATAATGTAAGGATGATATTGATAGATCTAGTTGCTTTAACAACTTCGTTGACAAAATATAATCACCCTCACTACTTTTCTATATCATTTCATTAAGTCTACCATTTCATTGCTCCACGACTCCAACCATTTTAAAATGTTTTATGTTTTCAACTTAAATTTTAACTTTCAATTCTTGTAAACAGGAGTTTGATTTTTTTTTTTTTCTTTTCTATCGTTAAAAGACAAAATTCTATGAATTCAATGTCTGTATAATTAAGAGATAAATTCATGTTAATGCTTGAATCCTTTACTTTGGTTTTTCTAGGTTGATTTTGTTGGATATGGTTCATACTTTGCATAACCTTGACGGATTATCGGCTTACGCTGTTATATTCAAGGGTCACGCATCCGGTAAGGGGGCAACGTCCCCTTCATAGTAAGCCCAATCAATAATTGGGTTTAAAATTTGATTTGCAAATATTTGAACTTGGGTCGGGTTAGCTCAAATGGGGTTAGGTTTATTATTATATGTATAATGTAATAGTAAAAAAATCTAATGTGAGATATAGAGAGCAAGAGTGAACTATCGATATTTTTTATTGTTGTATTCTGTAGATTTTTTAAGTTCAATAAAACTACTCTAATAAGTCTAATTGGATGCTGGAGTCTGGAAGTAGTTTCTTTATTGGAACAAACCAAGGTAAATCAATTGTCTTTTGCTACTTTTTTTTATTTATTGTTGTGTGTTTTGGATGAGGTTGCAACGTATTTTACTTTAACATTATTCATTAGTTTTCAAATCATATATCAACTTAAATAATATTATTGGTATTATGATACTACTTAATTAATATCTTAATGCGGGCAAGATTTTATTGGAAGGTTGAACCATAAATTAATGGAATCCACTTTTAGATGCTGATGCAACAAAATTCCCAAAGAGATATACTCTTTGTTTTCACATACAAAAGTAAACAACAAGATCCCATCAAATCTTGAGTGCACATCATAATCATTATCTTTCTAAAGAAAATTATACAATATTTTTGCCATTAATTAAAAAAATAAGGGTTTAATGTACATATAATCTGAGCCATCAAGTTATGAACTTATGATAAATCTTGTATAAACTATATTAGAGTGAATCTCTAACCAGGACGTCCTGATAAAAATATCAAGATTGTTTAGTTGCTGTTTTAGATTTTTATATGTAAACTATCATTTCAGTCCAATAAGTAAATCCAAAATATTCAAACAAAATCTTGATAGAATTATTAAATATTATCAAGAGACTAAAGAATTATAGTATAATATTACTCAGTATATCATAATAATGTTAAGATTTTTATAATATTGTATAAATATTTTGTAATCAGGTAAATATTATGTAATTTTTTAGTTATGTCAGGTATACGATCTCAGAATATTCTAGAGATTATGTAATTTCCTAATTATGTCAGACAAAATATTTGTAATCCGCAATTGACATAACTAGGAGATTTAAGAGATCGTATACTCCCTATATAAGGGGTGTAACTCCTTAGTGATAAATCAATGAATTGAAAACATACAATTCTTCAATTTCACATGGTATTAGAGCCACTCTCTGATCTAAAAAAAAAAAAATTTGCTCATTATAGAGCAGCCGTCGAAAAAAAACACCGGCGAGTGATCATCCCATCATCGTCAATCCAAGAAGGAAAAAACGACTGCAGTCAATCCAACCCAACAACCAATCCTCCAAACTTCGGTCACCAGAAAACACCATCCTGACCATATCAAATTTGCCAAATACACAAACCTCCAGCCGAAAACCAACTAATATTCAACCATCATCAAACATCAATCATCATCCAACACAAATTCAACCTCCTGCCATATTAGCCACCATCAATACACAAACCTCCAGCCTATCCCAATCAAGCCCAACCACCAAACCACCAACTTTGGCCACCACTAACAACCAAAATACCCAGAAAAAGGAAAAAAAATTTCCAAAACCAACCATCTTCAACAAATTTGCCGCAAATCCACATCATCACCCAAACAACTTCAATCACAAGAAACACCACCACGTTGCCATCGTTGAGCCAAGAAGGGAAGAAACCAGGTCAACAGAAAAAAAAAACCCAGATCGACGCTGAAGCTTGTTGCCGAGAAACTACCAATCTGTCATCGTCTTGTCACCGATTTGCTGCTGTCTCAACCACTGTTGCCACCATATCCGACTGCTGCTAACGTTTCCGACTTGCTGATGTCAACCTCGATCTGTTTTCGGTGACTCTGATCGGCTGTTGCTGCGCCACCATGACTTGCCTGTTGTGTTTGTCTAAGAGTTTGTTTTTAAAACGTTTTTTTTCTTTATTTTTTTATTATTCTTAAGTAATATTAAAAAGAAAAAAGAGGGAAAAGTCAAGTCAAGTCAAAGTCAAAGTAAAAAAAGAAAGAAAAAAAAAGTCGACAATGTCTGAATCATTAGGATCAAAACCCATTATTATTCAACCCGATGGAGCTTTCAATGCAGGAATTACTCTTACTTAATCAAACTATGATGTGTGGTCTTAGCTTATGGAAATGCATATTGCGGAGACAGAAAAATTTTCCTATATTCGTGGAAAGAAACCACCACCAAAAGAATCCAACAAGGGGTACAAAAAATGGTATCCTGAAAACCAAAAAGTCAAACGATGGTTGTTGATGTCCATGTCTCCTGAAATTATGAAGCGTTATCTACACTTATCCACTACTCATGAAATCTAGAGTGCTCTATCCAAAGCTTTCTATGATGGAAGCGATGAGTTACTTGTCTTCTCCTTGCACCAGAAAGCCTTTACTGCTAAGCAAAATGGAAGGCTACTCTCTATCTATTATGGAGAATTGACAGAAATATTTCAAGAATTAAACCACTAAAATACAGTGGTTATGAAGGATCCTAATGACATAATAGCATATCGGAAATCTGTCGAGCAATTGCGAGTTCACATTTTTCTTGCAGGTTTGGATGGAGAGTTTGAACAAATTCGTGGAGAAATTCTACAAAAAAATTTAGTTCCAAATCTAGAAGAGAGTTACTCAGAAGTCCGACAAGAGGCAGTCTGTCAAACTACCTTGAAGGGAGAATCAGAAAATATTGAGACTTCAGCAATGGTGGCCCAAAATAGAAGTCAACATGCCAAATCCAGCAACTCAAAAGTCCGACGAGAGGCAGTTTGTCAAACTACCTTGAAGGGAGAATCAGGAAATATTGAGACTTCAGCAATGGGGGCCCAAAATAGAAGTCAGCATGCAAAATCCAGCAAATCATACAACACAACAAGAAGTGCACCCACTGCAACAAATCTGGTCATACCAAGGACCAATGTTTTGAACTGGTTGGATATCCAGACTGGTGGGATCACAGTCTTGATCAAAGAAAGAAGAATTCCAAGAAAAACTCTATTGCTGCTATTGTGGAAAAGAAAGAAGATGCTGATCATTGCTTATCATTTGTAGCAACTACTGGAAATGATGGTAAGTCTTTACATATGTGTACATCTGTTTCTAATAGTGCATGGATAATTGATTCTGGTGCTACCGATCACAAGACATTTGATTATATGCATATTTCACATTTAAAACCATCCTCATAGAAATTCGTGTCTACTGCCAATGGTGAGTCCACTCAAGTCATTGGAGAAGGATCAGTAACCTTCCAAAATACTTTAAACTTAGATTCAGTTCTAGGTGTTCCTTCCCTAAATTACAACTTGTTGTCAATCTCACAAATAACCAAAACTTTATCTTGTGTGGTGATTTTTTTGCCTGACTTTTGTGTGTTTAAGAGCATTCAGACAAAACAAACGATTGGTTGTGGTATTAGATGAGGGCAACTATATTACTTGGATTTAGAGGAAAAAAATTCTGCCATAGTACAACAAGCTTTTACAGTCAGTGGCTCGGAAAAAGACAGGCAGAAATCCTCCATCTGGTTATGGCATCGGCATCTTGGACATGCTTCATTTGGTTACTTGAAGAAATTGTTTCCAAGTTGTTTAAGCAAAGTGAAGTTAGTTGTTTCCGTTGTGATGTTTGTGAACTTTCAAAGAGTCATCGAGTTTCTTATCCAATAAAATTGAATAAAAGTTCAAATCTCTTCATGCTTATTCACTTTGATGTCTGGAGGCCCTCCCAAGTTAATACTTTAAGAGGATCACGGTGGTTTGTTGCTTTCATTGATTACTATACAAGAATGATTTGGGTTTGTTTGATGAAATCTAAAAGGGAGGTCAATGTGGTATTTCAAAGATTTCACCAAATGGTTTGTACACAGTATAATGCTTAAGTTCAGGTTCTACGAAGTGACAATGTAGGAGAATATCAAAGTACAGACCTTCAGTAGTACTTGATAACACATGGTATTATTCATCAAACTACCTGCCCTAACACACCCCAACAAAATGGTGTTGCTAGGCGCAAAAATCAGAATTTATTAGAGGTTGTTCATGTTTCCTTAATAGAAGCTCATATGCCATTGTCTTTTTGGGGAGAATCACTCTCTTCTACTGCCTACATAATCAATTGAATACCTTCTAGCTCAATTGAGTTCCAAACTCCATTTCAAGCTGTTGGTAAAACAGTGAATGCTCCAACGGTTGCAAACTTACCACCTTATGTTTTTGGTCATGTTGCTTTTGTACACCTCCATAAACATCAACGCAACAAGTTGTCTCCTCGAGCATTGAAATGTGTTTTCGTTGGGTATGGTGTTCATCAAAAGGGTTATCGCTGTTACCATCCTTAAACTCAACAGCTATTTGTAACCATAGATGTTGTGTTCCATGAATAGTTAATGTATTTTTCTTCTAAGTCAGAATTTCAGAGGGAGTATTGTCCGGAAGAAATTCAGACTCTTGACTATGCCGTTCAAGTTGTGGGAGACTATGAGTTAGAAACTAGACCCGTTGATCAACAGGAAGATGAAGTGGATGAAAATGTCGAGGTGGTATCTTTGTCCGAAGAAACTTCATCTCAGTTTGAATATCTCATTCCTAGTATATCACAACCACCATTCACTACAAATGTTCCTGATTTAGAGTCTGAAACAATAGAGTCTGAACCAATTAAGAACAGTTACCACCAAGGAGTACTAGAGGGATTCCTAAACCAAGATACGAACCTCAGCCATCTAGTAAGATCAAATATCCCATGAGTCATTATGTGTCTAATCATCATCTGTCATAGTCAAATTTGTCATTTATGAATCAATTATCTACTGTATTTATTCCTAACAGTGTGCAGAAAGCCTTATCTGATCCAAAATGGAAAGCTACTATGAATGAAAAGATAAAATCACTACAAAAGAATGAGACTTGGGAACTTGTTGATCGTCCACCAGGAAAAAAGACTGTTGGATGTTGATGGGTTTACACTGTGAAGTATAAAGCTGATGGTATGATTGAATGATTTAAAGCAAGACTAGTAGCAAAAGGGTACACTCAAACTCATGGGATAGACTATACAGAGACATTTGCACCCGTAGCCAAAATCAACATAGTACGTGTCTTGGTATTTTTGGCTGCAAACTTGGATTGACCATTATAGCAGGTCGATGTGAAGAATGCTTTCCTACATGGAGAATTGTCTGAAGAAATCTATATGGATCCTTCACTGGGGTGTATTTTACCAGGGAAACATAGCCAAAAGATATGTAAGTTAAAGAAGTCACTGTGTGGGTTAAAACCATCTCCGAGGGCATGGTTTGGGAGGTTCACCAAAGCTATGAAGTTTTTTGGCTACCATCAGAGCAATTCAGATCACACACTATTCCTTAAAAAATAGCAAGGAAATATCACTGCATTTATTGTATATGTGGATGATATGGTGGTTATAGGAAATGATCCAGAAGAAAGTAAGGCTCTGCAAAAGTACTTATCAGAAGAATTCGAGATGAAGGACCTAGGTTCTTTGAAATATTTTCTCGGAATTGAAGTGTCTCAATCTAACAGAGGTATCTTTCTATCACAAAGAAAGTATGCATTAGATGTGTTGCAGGAAACTGGTATGTTAGCATGTCAACCAGCTGATACACTAATCGAAGAAGACTTGAAATTAGGAGTTGATACTGATCAAGTACCAATTGACAAAGGGAGATACCAGCGACTTGTGGGAAGATTTATGTACTTGTCTCACACTAGGCCAAATCTTGCTTATGCATTGAGTATAGTCAATTAGTTCATGCATAATCCTAGAGAGCAGTATATGAATGCAGTTATGCGTATCCTGAGATATTTAAAACATGCTCTTGGAAAGGGAATCTTATTTTCTAAAAATAAAGACTACCAAAATATGCATGCATATACTGATGCTGATTGGGCTAGAGCAGTGGATGACAGGCGATCTACTTCTGGTTATTTCATTTTTGTAGGAGGTAATCTAGTCACGTAGAAAAGCAAGAAACAGAATGTTGTGGCACACTCGAGCGCTGAAGCAGAATTTAGGGGAATGACACTTGGGATTTGTGAAGCTTTGTGGCTAAGATTTCTACTACAAAATTTGGGTTGTCAACCTAATCAACCAATCCAGTTATATTGTGATAATAAAGCAGCATGTGACATTGCTCACAATCCAGTTCAACATGATCATACGAAGCACGTTGAAGTAGATAGATTTTTCATCAAAGAAAAACTGGATGAAAAGATTATTGAGCTACCCAAGATTCGATCAGAGGATCAATTGGCCGATATTTTTACCAAGGCTGTCTCCAAACGTCTTTTCTCACAAGTGTTAGACAAGTTGGATATGTGTGAGATCTACGCACCAACTTGAGGGGAAGTGTTAAGATTTTCATAATATTGTGTAAATTAATATTTTGTAATCAGGTATATATTTTGTAATCTTTTAGTTATATCAGGTATACGATCTCAGAATATTCTAGAGATTATCTAACTCCTAATTATGTCAGACAAAATCTTGTGTAATCCGCAATTGACATAATTAGGAGATTTAGGAATCGTATACTCCCCTATATAAAGGGTGTAACTCCTTAGTGATAAATTAATGAATTGAAAACATACAATTCTTCAATTTCACAAATAACACTACACTATACTCCTTGCAATGGAATATATCTATTTCTAAGGCCTAAAGAAATTGGCATTTAAGCCTTTGGTAGCCAAGTTCCAAAGCGCTGCAACAACTAACAAAACGCTCAAAATCGTTCCTAAGCAACCAAGTCCTAAATTAATGCACCAAATAGCACCATTTGAGCGGGTTTTTTTGATGAAAATGTACATGAAACATGGATAAACATACGTCAAAGGAAATGCAATTCCTCCAATTAGAGCTGACAAGCTTTTCAAGAATGGAAATGCCACTGCTAAAAAGAATGCCAAGCCTCCGAAGAAGAGCCGGAAACCTACCCGAACCCAATCTGGACACCGTTTCTTCTTCACCAGGGTGTATCTCATCTCCAGGTTGTCGAAAACTGGTATCGCGTAGATGTTGAATGTAGTAAGGCAGTTTATCAGAACTAGAAGATATATCAAACCCATCACATATTTTGAGGTGTTATCTCCATGAACCTGCAAGTATGCTTGTAACATTCCTCCATTTGTTTGAATCTGGAAGAAAAAGAGTCGATCAGTAATTCAGTATGATCATCTCTTGATATGAACTTACATTAATTGTATTTATTAAAGTTCCAGCCCATATTTGCTAGGCTTACCTGGTTTCCATAAGCCCAAAATCCAGCTATAGCAAGCGGGAATAAGCACATTGCTATTATTAGATATGAAATTATTACACCTCTCCACATTGGCTTAGACGATTTATGGTTTTGGTTAGAAGGCAATGTTCCCTATAAGTTCACATTATTTCCAAATGCGTAAGTACGAAATTTACATTTCATATCAAATTAGGAGAGAAGATTCAATATCTTTACCTGTATTTCAAGAACAAGATTATGACCTCTAAATGCGAGCACAATGATCCCAATGGCGTTGAAGATACCGCCAAACTTCACCATTCCTGATTCTCCCATCTCTGTGGGTTGGTAAGAGACTCCACTGGGTTTCCCCTTGCTGATGGGCAGGGCCCAAATTAGAGTAGAAGATGCAATTCCTGTGATTGCTCCAAGCATTGAGACCTTGGTTATAGAATTCAAGTTGGGCAATTGAGCTATAGTAATGGCTATGTAAGTGAAGACCAAGAAGCATAATATGCCACTGAATGACATGGCTTCATCACCACTCAAAATCTTGTAAAACGTCTCCATGTACCCACCAGCTGTGATAATTAGCATCACACATGATCCTCCTGATAGGTACATCACAGGAAATAGAGCAAGCAACTTTCCTAGTTTTGGACCTAGAAATAAAAAAAGTATCACTTATAAATTGCTGCAAAACTTGTCAGATTATTACGTCCCAAATTTTACTCGTTTCGTCGAGATTTATGAAAAACAAGAACAAATGATACAAACTAAATACTAACCGAAGGCGGCTATTGAAAGGTGGAGGTATCGGCTGTAGCGAGTTCCAGGGACTGATTCTGCCAGTTGGACTAGAAGCCATATCGTGTAAAGCTGCCATGTATATGCTAGTGACAAAGATATGATTCCCCATGTCCTGCAACCATTGAAGAAAATTGCTGTCAAACACAGACATCAAATTTATTTTCTGTCTCTCTTTTGATTAGTCTTGAAAATGGATTAGGATCATCTCTGCGAGATTTTTACATGAATAAATACAAAACAAGCATTAGATTGATGCTTACCATCCAAGTGTGGCGAGTGCAATTGGAAGTGACAGAGCTTGGAATCCGATTCCTGAAGAAATTAAATGGAACACAGAAGAACACACGTTGCCATTTCTTGATTCTGTGATGGGAAGCCAAGTGTCTTGTGGTTGTGGGTTCAACACGACCTCATCATTAATGCCTAAACTAGCGGTGGAATAACTCCTTGTGCATTGAGTTTCTGTGGTGGATTCATTAATGGTGACGACTTGTTGATGGTCTTGTTGGGCGCTTTTAGATATTGTTTGATTATGAATATCTAATTCTTCAACACAACTCCCGTCGGCTACTTCTCCCATGGCTAATCAAAGCCTTTGCAATGGCGCAAATTGGTTTTTCTACAGCTCACATAAATCTCTAGGTTCTATAGCTATATGTTTATTGACATGTAACAAAATTAGCTATTGCAGCCTGTTTTGTGGTTAAGGAGAAACAAGGGGAGTTGTCATTTTACTGGTGTAAGTTTGCTCAGCCCAACCATTTGGACTCCTCCAATTGACTTTATCAAGTCGATATGCCGGAATGATGTTAATTTGATCATATTTGATTACGTTGAATCATACATGTAATGGTGGTAAATGATATGGTGCTAACAATATCAGGTCGGTACTTTAGTTACGAGACTACATTAGTGGATATAAGACTTCTGTGACGTTACTCTTTCTTCTAATTGTAGACAATGCCCAAATGATGTTTTGATCATCATACACGTCAATGGTGGTTATTCATGGCGGGGTGGGTGCTGACAATATCAAGTCGGGTACTTTAATTACGAGACTGACCATCTGCCAAGAAACCGATTTTAAAGGCTCATTAATTTTATTTATTTATTTTTGAGTAAATGATCTTTTCCTACTCAAATAATGGTTTAATGACGCTTTCTCACCAGTGGCGGATTTACTTAATGATGAGTGGAGACCACGGCTCCCACTCAAACTTTAAAAAACTTCAGATTGTATAAATATTTATATTTACTTGCATTTTACCCCCTATAAGACTTTGACCTTTTGCCCCCACAAATTTTTTTTGTTTATTTTTTGCCCCCATCGAGTGAAATTCCTGGATCCGCCACTGTTTCCCACCCACATATTTCTAAAATACTATTTTACTACCTAAGTTTATATTTCATTTTTTATTCCGACATTGTTACGACTCCACACCATCACCATTCTCTTCTTCGATCATCACTCACAAAAAACCCTCAAACCCCACACTCGTGAGCCCCATCAATTACCAACAATCGAGCGATTAGGGTTTGCGTAACCACCTCTTCTAAGTCAAATTCCGATCAATTGCAACCTACCACTACCAAAAGACTCATTAATCTCACATCTTTAAAAGTCCTAACAGCCTACACCGAGTTTGCTCTCTCTTCCAAATCAAATTCTGATCAATCCCAACCTACTACTATCAAAAGACTCATTAATCTCACATCTTTAAAAGCCCTAACAGTCTAGACCGAGTTTGCTCTCTGTTTATTATCAGAATATAAATTTGGATAATAAAATAATATGTTAAAAGTCTGTAGGTGAAAAAATATCATTATACCGTTATTTGGGTTGAAAAAAGTCATTAACTCTTCATTTTATATATTTATAATATGATGAGCTCTATGGTATATATTTTTGTTCGTAGCATGCCCTACATAAGTGATGGAAATGAAGAACTCCTCTTAGATTGCCTGCTGTGTTAAAGTGGAGCACTATCCTCGGGTCGGGAGCACTATTCCCGGGTCGGGCCCTCCTACCGAGTCGGGAGCACTCATTTGCTTACGTATCTTGATGTTCAATGTGTATTTCTCTTTTGTAATCATCGTATCATTTGAAGGAGTTTTTGAGATTGCAGTTTGCGCTGTTCAAGCAAATACAAAAAGGTGGTTAAAATATTGTTTAAGAGTTTAACCAGGTATCAGAACTAAGTTAAACTATCTGAATCCCCTTTTATCAATGCAGCCTGGTAATATTTATTGATTCCTTAAATCCTATTATCACTATGTCGTGTTTTTTGGTTGAACTGGACATACTTAAACGCCTGTTTCAAATTGTTGGATGCATTGTTGCAATTCAAAATGCAGTTATATTATTGATTTTCCAGTTGTTCTTGGGTAAATGAATTGTATTTTGAAGTGGTAAGCATTTTCATGTTTGTGGATTTCATTATACACATTCTAAATTCTGTTTTCCAAATGTTGGATGGATTATTGCAGAACAGAACAGAGGATATTTTTTTAGAGCCTTACTGGAGATAACTCCAAATGGTGCATCTGCTTTAGGTAAGAATACCTCGAGATCAAATTGATTAATTATCTCACCATATACTCCATTTAGAAAGAGCTCTTTTGACAGAATTTTGGAATTTCTGACGTAGGATATCTGGCGGATGAATTCATGGAGCGGGTTGAACATTAGAAGTCTATGCATAAAGCCTAAAAGTTCTAAATAAGTATGCTCCATTCAAATGGCTATAACTTTTGATCCGGGAAGAGTTACGAGGCCTGTAAGATACCGTTGGAAAACTTATTTTGAGCCCGTTGACATAATGAGTGCTTTAGCTGGTTGGAGGTCGTTTTCGAGGTCAAAATCCACCGTTTTGGTGTGTTTCGGGACTGTTTTAGTGTTTTGCGCGTTTTTTCTTATTTTATTTCGGGTTTTCTTATTTTAATTAATTTAGTTTTTGTTTCCTTTTGTTATTAGGAATCTTATTAGGGTTGATTGTCACCCTATATAAACTTATTTTTTGTTTTGGATGTGATTAAATAAATTATTCAATTTTTACTTCAGATTTTGCGGTTTAAGTTTTTGGATTGAGACTTGTGTTATCAATTTTAAAGGTGTAGTCGTGTGCTAACCATGTTTATCACGCTAACTCACTGCGTCAATTTCTCATCCTTGATGGATATCTTCATGTGGGCAAGAATTATTTGGAAGGTCTAATCTTAATCTACTTTGTTCCAATTTTACATGCTGAAGCAACTATATTCCTAAAGAGAAAAATAGTGTTTGCTTTCACACACACAAAAGTAAACAGGACCCCATGAACTCATCTATCCATTGGAGCGTACAGGAATCATAATTGTTTAAAAGAACTTTCTAGCTAGCTGTAAGTTCAAGCTGCTGAGTTAATGAGAAAATGGCCAAATAGTTTGGGAATCAAGTTAATGTATTTCTCGTAAATGTTACATAATTCTATACATCAGGAATTGTATCAGTTAATACTTTTGAGTACATGTAATGTTCTCTCTGTTTATACTGTTATATATGTTAAATTCTAGGTGTCTGTCTGTAATGAACACAAAATTAAGGCCTAAAGAAATTGGCATTTAAGTGTTTGGTAGCCAAGTTCCAGAGTGCTGCAACAACTAACATAACACTCAAAATCGAGCCTAAACAACCAAGACCGAAGTTCAACCACCACATTGTGCCGTTCGGGCGGGGTTTTTTTATGGAAATGTACATGAAACATGGATAAACATATGTCAAAGGCAATGTAATTCCTCCAATTAGAGCTGCCAAGCTTCCTAGGAATGGAAATGCCACTGCTATTAAGAATGTTAACCCTCCAAAGAAGAGCCTTAAACCGCTTCTAACCCACCATGGACACCGTTTCTTCTTCTTCATAATGTACCTAAACTCCAGGTTGTCAAAAACCGGCATGGCGTAGATTTGAAATGAAGTTAGGTTGTTTATCAGAGCCAGAAGGTAGATTATGCCCATCACATATTTTGGTGTTTTAGGTCCATGAACTTGCAAAAATGCAGTCAATAACCCTCCGTTTATTGGAACCTGGACAAAAGCAATCCGAAGTTTCAATGAGTTAGGATTCTCTGATTTGAAAATTACATGTATATTCAAATGGTTATGATATGCTTTACCTTGTTTCCATAAGCCCAAAATCCAGCTATAGCAAGTGGAAATAAACACATTGCTATTATTAGATATGAAATCGTTACACCTCTCCACATCGGCTCTGACGATTTTTGTTTTTGGTTAGAAGGCAGTGTCCCCTGTAAGTTCACACAATTTCCAAATAGGTACGAAATTTAATTGAAATCTTGACAGCATTTCATATCAAATTAGGAGATAATATTCAACATTCTTACTTGTATTTCAAGCACAAGATTGTGACCTCTAAATGCGAGCACAATTATTCCAATAGCATTGAAGATATTACCAAACTTAGCCATATCTGATTTTCCCATCTCTGCAGGGCTGTAGGATACTCCACTAGGCCTGCCCTTGGTTATCGGCAGGACCCATATCAGAGTACAGTAAACGACAGCCGTGACTGCTCCGATCACCGAGATCTTGGTTATGGAATTCAAGTTGGGCAATTGGGCTACAAGAATTGCCATGCAAGTGAAGACCAAGAACCACATGGCACCACTCAGTGAATTGGCTTCACACCTGTCTCCACCACCACACATAATTTTGTATAGTGTCTCCATGTTACCACCAGCAGTGATAATCAGCATCACACATGATCCTCCTGATAAATACATCACAGGAAATATAGCAAACAGCTTCCCTAACTTTGGACCTGGAAGTCAATAAAAAACGAGTTTGCTTTTTGAATCTGCAGCAACACGTGGTTGATGTATATAATATAATGCATACAAAATGAGGGTCGTTGAAGAATTTTAAAATGATTTTTTCTTGTACGTATTTAATTACTAACCAAAGGCAGATATTGCAAGCAGGAGATATCTACTGTAGCGTGCTCCCGGGACTGATTCTGCAAGTTGAACAAGAAGCCATATTGTGTAAAGTTGCCATGCAAATGCCAGTGACAAAGATATGATCCCCCATGACCTGCAAACATTAAAAATAAACACAAGAATATTAAGTTTATTCAAGCATGGCATAATATTGAAAATTGAAAACTTAAATTTGGCAAAATACTAACCATCCGAGAGTGGCGAATGCAACAGGGAGTAAAAGGGCTTGAAGGCCAATTCCTGAGGAGAGTAAATGAACCACAGCAGAAAACACGTTGCCATTTCTGGATTCTGTGATAGGAAGCCAAGCTTCTTGTGGAAACAAGTGCTTGATCACCTGAGTATTGCCGAAATTACCATCGTTTGAAATACCCTCTACATATGGTGTTACAGTGGAGTCTTTCATGGAGCCGCTTGATTCAATCCTGATGATTTGAAGAGGGTGAGGCTGATCTCCAGGACCTCTTGATGGTTCATGAAGAGAGAATTCTTCTGCAAAACCTACTTCCATCGCTAAGCTAACGCAATACGTGGAATATGGTTGATGTGCAAGGAAAGAAAAAACATTGCGGACTTTGTTGATGAGGTGCTGTTAATTTATTGAGTTCCAAGAGCTGACTTATTTGATTACGGGAATATTACATATGAAGTGAGATCATCCTGACGATTAAAGCTGACGTTACTGTTACTGCGTAGTGTGAACCATTTTATTTTTCTAAATAAATTAGTTGTCACAGTTGGATTTAAGTAATTAATAAAATTATGATATGTGTGGTATCATTTTAAAATATTGAACTAATTAATGCAAAGAAATCACTCGAAAACAGAAACAAAATCTCATGCATCTAAATGAAAGATTCTGATAATATTGTCCAAGTTGGATTTGCAATGAAGTTACAATTAATGACTAATCTTTTTTTTTTTTTTTTTTTTAATTCACGGCCTTGGACCTACCAGCCGATAAGAGTTAATGATCATTTTTATTAATGTTTGAGAAAATTCAAATTCAAGAGTTCACAAAATCCCATTTTGTTTTTTTACTATCATACTATCAAATAATGATTGAAGATCAAAACTTTCCTGGTAAGACAATTTCGAATTGACAAGCAATCTATTCAATTCAAGTATCATGGTGAAACTTTAGAAAAATTATCTTATAGGAGAAATTTACTCCCGTAAACTACCCAAAGACACCAAAAATATTTTAATCTAGGTTGACTTTAATGCAAGTATTAGGCAAAGTGCAACAAATGAAATGAACTAATTTTTACAAAAGAAAAACTTTGGCATCCTCTTGTTCAATTTAAGAGCACCTCCAATAGTGATTTTTATTTTAAAGGGCACTTTTTATATAAATAAAGAATATTTTTATTAATTTTAAAATATAAATAACACAATTTTTATTTAAATTCAATAGACTTTTTAAATTTAATGAAAATGCTCTTTATTTTTAAGAAAGAGACTTAATGGGAGAGAGAATTAATAAATAAAATGTATAGGAACTTGTAGTTTATTAATTAAAATTAGAATAAAGAGTGAAATTTAACTCTTTAAATGTGGAGAGTCAAACTCACTCTCTAATTTATATTTTAAAGATAAAGAGTCTGTTAGACTTTTGTTTTTATGGATAGACTCTTTATAATAAAGAGTTTGAGTAATATAAAGAATCTTTTAGAAATTCTAATCACAATTTCTAATTTAGATATGTTAGTATTGAATTTACATTAAATTTGAGATAAGTGGGTACAAAGTTTTTTTTTTTTTTTTAATTTTTTATTGGGTGTGTCCGAGCCTACTTATGCATACCTTGATTAATCTTCCAAAGCCCTGAAGTTAATGAAAGGGTAAACCTTCTAGGGTCACTCCTATTAACAACTACTAAGAATTAAACTCAAGACATCTTAAGTAATACACTTAAGAGTCTATATTCTCCACCCACCTGGTCTTCGAAATGTGGTTTACAAAATTCGTTCTCATACATTATTGATTTTTTTATTAAATGATGCCGGCTTACAGGCTGAGTGTGGAAAACAAGGAGATAAAACAAATACATTATGAAGTTCAAACTCACAACTCAATTTGGATAGCTCGTCTCAGTTTCCAAATTAATTTCATAAATTAAAAAGACTTCTGCTATACTCCAAAAAATTCAACAACCAACGCTGGCAGAACTGAAGATCCAATAAAGAGAGACTTAAAGGACTTGAAGGATTTACAAATAACTTGACCGCTGACCGAACTAACATTCCATTGGAAAAAAACCCCACAGATTGTATTTTTCTTTCCTTGAAGAAGGAATTTTTTATCCCAGTTTTGGTAGAAATGAAGTAGGCTGACAAAGTATTATGACGTTCTAGAAATAGTTCCATATGTTCAATGCAGATGCGTAATCAGTGATTATGTAAGGTATGTATGTGAACCTCCCCTGGGTGGGTGGCTGAGTGATGGACGATGACTCTGGACTCTTGAGTGTATTTTTTAAAAGTCTTAAGTTTAAGTCACATTGATTGTTAATAGGGATAGTCATTAGAGGGTATATCCAGTTTTTAACTTTAAGACCCTGAAGGATTAGTTAAGATACGCACAAGTAAAGGTGAACTCAAGTTTTTTTTTTTTTTTTAATATTAACATGTACAATTTCTGTATTTTGGCCAATCCTAACACAAAAATTAATGGACAAAAATATTAATGTGCAATTAGTTTTTATTTTAGCCCATTCTAACAGAAATTTTTGGATCCGTCCCTATACACAAACCGGTTTGAACACCCTCAATCACCATAAAAAAAAAAAAAAAAAAGGTATGTATGTGGTAAGCGATGACAAGAATTAAATATTTTTACTGGTTGACGTGTATGAATTTTATATTTTAACTGGTTAGTTGTATATATACCATATGATATAAATTTCTTTTTAATTATTATTATCATGTACAAATTTGAGTTTGAGTTCCACAAGCTTTTTAAGAACTTTATATATGGAACACTGATATTATTATAAAGATTTAAATTGGACTTGAGTATTTAATATTGTTATGTCCGTACCTACTAGTACAAGTTTTGAGAGTGATAACTTAACATATACATGAGTCAGAAATCCTGATAATCTTATTAATTTAAAGAGTAAACGATTTTTTTCCACCCAAGTTTGCCTTAGTGACACTTTCTCAGTCATAAAAGTTTGAGTATACCACTTTCTCAACCAAAGTTAATATTTTATTCTTATTTAAAGTTGATTTGGATAGTGAAAATTCTTTTCATCACTACCACCATTTGAACCTCTGGTCTATTCTCTACAAAACTCCTCTTATTTCGATACCTAATCTCTCGTCGATTACCGACCATCACAAAGCTAGGGTTTTTTATTCTTAGCTAATTCTCGAATGATTCTGGTGCTTTATTCAATCGGTCACTATCATTTGATCCGCCGACCTCCACTTTATAAAAAACCCTCTTACCTTGGCCACTGGTAACTTGCCGAACGTCGATTGTAAAAGTGAAATATATTTTGGGTATTAACAGAATGTAACATTAGGTGGGAAAGTGGTATTTGAAAATTTTTTAGGTGGAAAAGGTCATTAAGGCAAACCTTGGGTGAGAAAAAGTCGTTTACTCGATTTTAAACCAATTAAACCAAAAATAAGGTCCCCTTCATTTACGTTTCCAAATTCATTTTCCCAAAGTTTTTATTTTCTTATTATTATTATTATTATTATATAAAGGTGAAAACAAACTTCTTTAACTTTATTTTCAAGTTCACATTTTAAAACAAAAACATAAATAAAGGCCAGGTAAATGTCTGAATTGATTTGTTTATTTTTTGAGCAGGGCTTGAAGTAATTAATGCTAATTATTATTGGAAGTCTAGTAGGAAGCATTGTTTGAAGTGGCCTTAGATTGTGTTTCCTTCAGAAGGGAACCATATAAAAGTAAAATCCCGGAAACGATGGGTCACCATTGTTTTACTTTATCTCCCCACAAACCATTACCATTTGTTTTTCAAGTGGTGGGTACAGCAGCTTAATGATACATTCTTTTTCTGGAAAGGGAAATCACAAGGACTCCCCATTTAGATGACCTTTCTTCATTGAAAACAACTGTTCTCAGAAACCTCCAAGAACAACTCATTTCAGATTTTTATTTTTATTTATTTTTTTTGATGGTTTTTAGAGGGTTTTGATATGAGAAATAGGTTAATAATAAAAAGCTGATCTCTCTGACATCGATCCACGATTGTTATTTCCCAATGGGATAAAAAGGCTAGGTGAGTGGCCACGTTTTGGCCATTTGAGGTTTAAATAAATGGATCATTTCACACTGAGGTCACTTCAATTCCCTCAAGTTTCTCCATCTCCAAGAATATTTTCCCACTATCAAACACGCTTTGCTAAATTTCCCCATATCTATCAATTATTCTTCGTCAACTATTTCTCTCAACTTTATGATCAAATGACTGTTTTGTTTAATTAAAATAAGATACCGGTTAGATAGTGCAGCATTTGAAATCTTTTACCCCAGCTAAGAATTTGGCAGGTCTCATTTTAATTGTGTTTCCACATCTTTTACTTTATTTATTTATTTTTTATGATCGGATTGTCCAGGTTAACTTATACGCACCTTAACTAATCTCTTAGGGTTCTGAAACTACCAGCCGGGTAAGAGCTCTAGTAGCTACCTCTATTAACAACCGAGGAGAGACTCGAATTCATAACATTTTGAGTAATAAACCTAAGAGTCATTTGTCGAACCACTTGACCACCCAGAGATAGTTAAACACAACTTTTACTTGCTGTTGCAATAGAATTTTCTAAAGCTTCATTCTTTCTTATTATTTCAAAAAAGTAATGTGAATTATGTGATCCCTTCAACTCTTGGATCCACTGGGGAGCACAGTAGCATGATCTCTCTTAAAAGAAGAAGAATTAATCCTACAGTATATTCATATATAAACCCACTTACTTAATTATGATTAAGCCAGAATCTGTGTCATTAACGTTTCAGGAGAACACAATTAACACAATACATCATTTCCTCAAAGCATGGCCGACATAAAGTTTTGTTTAGACAGAAAAAAGGTTTAGGTATATGCATTATACGTCAATGAATTCTTACACTTTTCTTTTCGCTTTTATGTATTGAAATTTATCAGCAGCATCATTAGCTTTTCACTGCAAATAAATTATTATTTATTTTATATTACATCAGTTTATATACAAATTGATATATTTAGTATTATTCGTAAATAAATAAGATCCAATTATCAAACACTGCATACTTTAATGATTGGAGAAGGCACAAGCCCTTTGCCCACGGGGTAGTGGAGGGAACACTGGACATATAACCAACGACTTAAATTTATACTGTCCATGTATATCAGTGGTTAAAACCTTTTTTTTATGTGATCATCATGGCTACTTTGATAAGTCGACTTCTATGGAGGTTTTGGTTTGAGTGTGCTATTTCGAGCAAAGAGTTGTCATCTCATTTGTTGCCATCAAGTTCGAAGCTGGCTCCAATCTGATTATTACTCAATTTTTGTTATTACTCGATGTCGGCAAAACTACTCGAGGGTAGTTTG